AAAATTGGAGGTATTCTGGAAAGCAATAGCTCAGATTTAGGTTTTTAAAAGGTTGGCAAGGGACATGCATTTAATACAGACAAAAACTCTACATAGTAAATGTAAATCTTATTGAGGAAATACTATTAACAGTCAGATTAGAGCTAGTTATAGGAGTAATTGATTTGCTATTTAGAACCAAAAGCAAACATCCATTTTCTAAAGTCACCTCAAATGTTTTATCAGCACAAAAGACACAAGTGGGAGAGAGATGCTTGGTCAGTAACTACCAAAATCCCAAAGATGTCAAACTAGGTACACTGCAGGAACTAGTTTTGAGAATTAATGGATATTTCATGAAGACACTGAGATCTGTAACTATTAAGTATGCAGAACAGGAATTCTCACTGTTAGTATACCTCTCTCTATGTTATTTTGATTTTTATTGACATAGGATTTCTAGGAATAAAAATTGCAGAGGCATCTTTGAAGGAAACCAGTGAATCTTGCACTTGCTAGGTAAGGTAATTCCTTTAACCTTGACGAACATCCTATGCAGTTCATACCAGAGCATTCCAAAAACTGCTATGCCTTCTTTTGTCTCAGAAATAGGTGAGTAGGCATAGGCTTCTCAGGTGGCTTCAGGGCAGTAGAAGTCAAGCCTCTTCCTTCCCCTCTCAAATTTAACAGTCTAATCCATCCTTCTGGAACCTGGAAGACTTGGCCTTGTGTCAGGCATAACAAAAATTTAAAAACAAGACTTGATCTGTGCATCTTACCTAAGCAGAATGACACAGTCATCCTGTAGAATTTTTATCATTTCCTAATTTCATACTTGCTGCACTGAAATCTGACTTACATATCAGGATAAAGCTGTAGAATCCTGCGATAATTAATACATAATTTACTAAATATAAGAAATGAAACAGATATATTTTTACTCCCTTATGGGTCAGCATACACATGGGGTTGTTGGGAAAAGATGCTGCTGCTTTTATCGCGCAGCATGTTACTTGTTGGAACACAGAAAACTAATTAGATATTATGGGGAAAAAAATCACTGTAAGGACTGCCAAACACTGGAAGAGGTTGCCCAGTGAGCTCACAGGATCTCCATCCTTGTATAAATTCAAAACTCCCCAGGACAAGATGCTGAGCAACATGACTTAGTGACCAACTTTGAACAGTGGGAACTGAAAAAGATGACCTCCAAAGGCCCCTTGCAACCTATGACTTGGCACTTACTTTGTCATACCTCTCTGTCCATGTGCTGTTGGTTGCCTGACCAAGTGCTATTGGTGGCTTAGGGATTTGGGTATGGGAGAGAGATACATGACTGACTTACAGCCTGAATAGGATTGACGAGACATGCACAGCAAGACAGATGGTCAGCAATTCTGCCTTTTAAAGGGTGTTAACTCTAAGACTAATTACTCAAGACTTGTATTGTGAGGACTGCAATAACCTCCAGCCATCACTGAATAATATCATATCACATCATGATATACAAGTCATATTTGGACAGGGGAACTAAGCTGCCTGTTTTTACAGAGACTTTACCTCACAGATCCATGGCCTTTGACCCTCACTGACACATTACAATACGGTACTTACATCCTGAAATTCAACCAACCCCGCTCTACACCACCTTTTTTTGTTCCTGACCCAAATGGTACTTCTGGGTAGATCTTTTTATTTCATGCCTTGCTCTCACATCTGCACTGGGAGAAGCAGCAAATTATTATGACCTGTCTTGAAGAAAAGAGGTTGACTGGAGATAAATGCTAAAAAGAAATTCCCTCTTGAACAGATTTCTCCATGTGGGTGCACTAGTTTAATTTCTGGGGGTGGAGGAAGACTTCCAAAAGAAGCCAAGTGTGGATGATTGATCTAGTTTCCTATAAACACTTCACTGTGTTTGGATACAAGACAGAAGGAGGGGAGCTGTCCAGGAATCTACTGAAAAAAATCCATTGAAATATGTCTCTTAAAGTAAAAAAACCCAACCCTACTAATGATTTTTCCCAAATTTTTAATGCAGCAATTTGAAAGTGATTACTATATGCATTACTGTGTCTATACATGTTATACATATATACACAGAGTGCTCAGAGGAGTTCAACATGCACTAGCAAAACCTGAAGAGGCAGGAAGAGATTAAAAGCCTTCTTTAACAGTAGTTTGATTAAATGATGAAGTAGAAATACTAATTGTCTAACTTCATCTGTTCCTTGTTGATTTCAGAAACGTGACAAAAGACACAAAGTCGTCTCCATGGTGACTGTTAAAGCTGGGGACAAAACCAGTGAAGATGCTCTCCATGGTATTTAATCTGACATTTATACCATTCACTGAAATCTTTGTTTGGTTTAACAATCAAAAATAAGACAGGTTTTGAAATTTGATAAGAAGCCCCCCCCCCCCACCCCCCAAAGACACGTGATTTCTCAAGGTGGTGACACTTGAAACCTAAAAGCTCCTATGCCTATTCACTTTCCTCATTATGTCTTACATGTTATTTTCCTACCAAATTTCCCACTGCAGATGCTAAGGATATAAGTTGACTTAGAAAAGGTGAATGCACTGAAACACTAAAAAAATATATATATATATATAAAATGATTAGAATAAGGAATACGGAGAAAAAGTAGAATTTACTTTTTTCCTTCTGTCTTATCCTGATAACCAAGAAAGAACTGATAGGAAGCAACTTCCTTGGCAAAGGGAGAACACAACTGAGCTAAGATAACGAACGTCAGCATTCAGAGTTTGAAGTCACTTTCTCTCAGAAGAAACGTCCCTGTCTGGATTTGCAATGGAGAAATATTTCTGCAGTCCAGCATGCTTTTGGAGGGAAAGGGGAAAGAAGCTTAATGCTGTGTTAATGCTATAGACTGCGAAATAACTGTCTTACCACTACAAATTGGAATTTCTAATTGAAGCATACCATTCTCAGCTTCCTTAAAAACTACAACTAAACATTGTTACTTATAATGAAACAAACATCATTTTAAGTCTTACAGAATAGTGATTCTCAATTAAAGACCACAGAAATCTCCAGGACATATTTTGCTACCACCAGCCTGTACCATTTCTGCTCACTAGCACCATTACGGTTTTCAAATGTTGGAAGTGGGATTACCTGCACAAAACTGTACAAGATGACTCAGCTTCCCAACAAAAGTAGAACAAGGAACAGCAGCAAATCAAAGCCCCCAGAAACTATTTGGATAGTTTTGCTCTGAGGAGCACACAAAATGCAGAGTAATTTCTATCCCTACTCTGACGGACATTGCAATCCTCCAAGTCTAAAATTCACTGATGCTGCTTCTACCTCTGTTCATCCAATCTTTAAAGGCATTCACTTCCACTGTCTCTTCCCTTACTGCTATCACATACATTTCTGTGAACACACAGTGTGCCCTTCTCTTGTGTACAAAGCTGGCTGGAGAACAGAGGTGAGCATATGGAATTGCAACCATACCCTCACATACCTAAGCACATTCCTGCAAATGTATATAATTACAGAAGAAATACTTACATATTCAGCATCCATGAGATACAGACAGATGAAGGGTAGTGTCATCTAAAGGCTGATTATTACTGCACTCTTAGCTGAATTATACTTTATTCTTTCAGTCTTGCTTTCTCCAAGAAAACCTGTGAAAGTTCTTTTCCTCTATAGACAGAGCACTGCTCATTCAATACACAGTTTTTATTAATTTGGTAACATTCCATAGATTATTAATTGAATCACAGTGCATGAATATAGTAAATATTCAGGAGATCTGAACACTGACTTAAAGATTTCCTCCATCCTCCCAATTTTTCTATGAGTGACATCTGTCATGAGCAACCACAATTTTTTATACATGCACAGCTGACTGTTCAAAGTCAGATAAACTTAGCCAAATACTTCAATTTTCCTTTCCCCCCCAGAGCTGCATGTTAAAATAAGTACATAAGTAATGAAAAAAGTCAGAGTAGCTCTAGATTATTTATTTTTCTAAACAAGCAGTACTGTCTTTATAACTTATGGTCAATACAAAGCAATTTTGAAACTCTTCAAGCTTCAGAAAGATGAATCAAACATAATCCGTGATATTGTGAATTAGGAGAAAAAAGTTTTGGAGACTTACTTAATATTGTTGCTAGTTGTAAATTTTCTGCTTTAAACAGCTGATCCAAGGCATTCTCAAAAACAAGTTCCTTCCAGTCTAGCATTTTAACACTGTATGAAACTTACTGTTGCATTGCAAAGACTCAAATACCAACATTCCCTATCAGCACTACCAGATTTGCCATAGGAAATAAGCCTACATTTGAGAAATACTGTATTTGAATGTTTATAAATTATACTGACAGACAGTAATCATCCATACGTTTTCCTAATCTTGCACAAGATTGCACAGAAAAGATCTTCACTATCAAAAGTAACCACTGAAAAATGCTGTTACAGAACGAATTTCTTTTACTTCCTCCCGTCACGGGTGAAAATAAGCACAAGGTAAATTAAAACTATACAAAATAGAGGCAAAAAACAACTGTGTTTCTTGGACATAAATTATTCCTTTTACTACAGCACAACTACTCATAGCCTGTGGACTGTTACTTAAATGCAATGTTTTTCTTATTCTGGGCAGTTCTTTCATTAAGTGAAATGGAAATCAAAAGCAAGACACTGGGGAAGTGTGCCACCCTAATTAGCTCTAAAACAAGTAAAATTCAGAAAAGCATAAGCACAGACTACCAGAAGTCTTACTGAACAGGGGAAAAACTCTGTTCTGTTTTGGTCCCCTTTCAGAGAGCCACTCTTCCTTAACAGGTCAAAGCTCACTTAAGTCAACCTACCCATTGAATCCTCCAAATACTTTATGGGACTATCCATCCCTACACATCTTCCCTTACCTCTAGCTAGCCCATCACATGTTTTACATCAGTTCCAAACTCTGATACAAACAATACCTCACAAATCTTACCTAAAAAGATTAACAGTATGATTAAGAAATAAATGTGCTTACTGTTCTTGAATCAGAGAAAGGATTGTACTCATCTAGCCCTGGAGGAACGTTTCTTGTCACTTGTGTAACAGAAGGATCCTAGAAGAGAAAACAGTTCTGTAAATGTATGCACATGTATGTAACAAACAAGTCAACACTTATATCATCATATAAAACTCTGGTTTTGTTTCAATCTAAAAAAAAGGTTTGTTTTCACTAAAAAAGCCTGTAAATATCCACCTCTTTCTCTGTCTCCAAAATGACATCATTCCATTCTGAGCTTCTTATAAACCTAGATTAACATAGTCTAAAAGAAACTCCATCTGTCATACATTCGATTTATAAGGAAAAAAGCTCTCAACAGAGAAGGGAAGAAAATCGTATCCTGCTACGTTGACCACTGGACTCCACAATTACACACACAAAAAGCACAACAGAAGAAAAGAGCTTTCTGTAACTTGTGTTTTTCCTACCCAGAAGTAACTCCAACATCTTCAGGAACAGGAAAAGCATTTCAGTAAAATGAAGCCGAGGAAACAGTGTCCCATAATGCCAAAAGCATCTCTGGTTCAGCTTCTACCTTAACTCATAAAATTAAGAAAAAAGCATAATTTTTTTCCTCCAATGAACTGTACAGTAAGAAAGACCATTTGAGGTTTAGCTTGAAAAAGGGATTTCAGGCATGAAACATTTCTGTGTGCTAGAGACACAAAGGCTTGGTTCTGCTGAAAATCAAAAGTGCCCACTACCATAGACCACACAAACTTCGTATGAAGAAAAACTGTACTTATTCCATATGATGCCTGTTCCACTACGTTGTTTCTGTACCTTAATTTAAGGTCTTTGTACCTTCAGAATCTAAGAATGGATGAAAGGAAGGTTTTCTTGAAAATTAATAAATTCATTTATTCAATATGGTTAGTTACATTTATATTTATATAAATGCACGAAACAAGTATACAATACTTTATATGTACACCAAATACACAAAATAGCTGTAAATATACTATCTACCTATTTAGAACTGTGATGTATATAGGTATGCACTTTTTCGCAATTTCAACAGTCCAGTTCAACATTAGAAAACAAACTAGAGTTGATAAAAACTGTGAAGAGCGTAAGTATTTACATTTATATATGTTTACATTCGTATTTCCTTTAAAGACAGCTACATTTAAAACCTCTACATGAAATATCTGTCAATTACCGTATTTTTTTAAAAAAATAGACTTAATCTACAGTGAAATAAATATACAAACTATTAAGCTACTGAAAAATAAAATCTACATTCTTAGAAGTAGCATCTATTATAGCATTAGCTTAGTCTTGAGAGCAGTAACTTAATCTACAGATGCAGGAACAGTATTTTCTTAATGGCTGAAGTCAAGTTATTTACAGCCAGAAAAAAAAAATAGCGCACAATACTTATCAGCTCTAAAATCCTGAAGGATTGGTCCCTCACTACAACAAAGACACTGAGCTGCTGGAGTATGTCCAACGAAGAGCAGCAAAGCTGGTGAAGGGCCTGGAGAAAAAGTCTTACGAGGAGCGGCTGAGGGAGCTGGGGTTGTTTAGTCTGGAGGAGGCTGAGGGGAGACCTGATCGTCCTCTACAATTACCTGAAAAGGAGGTTGTAGCGAGGTGGGGGTTGGTCTCATCTCCCTCGTAGGGACAGGACAAGAGGAAATGGTCTCAAGTTGTACCAGAGGAGGTTCAGGTTGGATATTTGGAAGAACTTCTTCACTGTAAGAGTCGTTAAGCATTGGAATGGGCTCCCCAGGGAGGTGGTGGAGTCATCGTCCGCAGAGGTGTTCAAAAAACATTTAGATGTGGCGCCTCGAGACATGGTTTAGTGGGTTTAGTGGGCATGGTTGCATTGGGTAGAAAGTTGGACTTGATGACCTTTGAGGTCTCTTCCAACCATAATGATTCTATGATACAGCAAATGACAACAAGTCTGTTTTTTCCATTAGCTGTAGCCACAAATTTATTGAGACAATTAAAAAAAAATTACTATTAAAAAAGTTTAAGACATAAAAATCATTGCTTCAAAAATTAAAAAACTGTATGTTGCATATTTTAATCAAATTCCTGTGTATAAGCATACATAAAAACTACCCTTCTGGTCACATAAAACACTACCACTTTTGGCTAAAGCATACATGTATCTGCAAAGGAGTATTTTAATGGTGACTGAACAAGAATCACACTTTCTATAAATGCATACAAAACGAAGTTACTTGCAAATCAAAATCAGCTTTCCCACACTTGCTTACACCATAATTAGTGATTTCAATAAAGCCACCCTGTCGACAGTCTTCCCCACAAGTTTGCCTTATTTTTCAGTTACCATCTTAGACTTGAATGCACTGTTCCAACTAAAAATCTCATCAGGTCTTGCATAAACTGATGGACTAATTCATTGTAAGATGTTCTTTCACTAAATGATGGGCACAAAATATTGTGCAGAGGAATAACAAAAACAAGGAAAAGTGTATGTGTGTGGAGGATGTTTATTGTCAAAATTCAACTACGAATTATTTGAAACATTGACTAAAAAGATCATAAAAAATAAGGGAAGAATTAAATCTGATATTTGAATTAGGCATTAGCTTACTAGACTTCTCAGTATAAGATCAAAAGAGATTAACTTAAAACAAAGTTAATACAAATAAGACAATTTCTTAATTCACTATACAGAAGGTAGAAAGCTGTACACAGCTGAAAACTTTTAACTTACTGTGGTGGGCCCACCCTAGCTAAGCCTCCACCTAGTTACTTGCTCACTGCCGTCCTCAGTGGGAGGGGGGAGAAAATGAGAAAGGCAAAAGGAAGTAAAATTTGTGGGTATCAATAAAAAGACACTTCAGTAAGGTGGGAGGAGATGTAGCGGAAAAAAAAAAAGAAAAAAAAGCAACAAAAACCCACAAGTGGGCAAAGGCAATCACCACCTCCCACCAGCAGACACGTGACCAGCCATCCTCTAAGAAATGGTTACCTTGGAACATCCCCACCACCACTACCAGCACCACCAATGTTATTGCCGAGTGTGATGCTACACGGTATGGGGTATCTCTTTGGTCAGGTGGGGTCAGCTCTCTGGCCTGTGTCCCCACCCAACCTCTTGCCCAACTCCAGCCTATTCCCAGGGGGAAGCAGAGTGGGAGAAGGCTGTGATGCTGTGCAAGTGCTACTTAGTAACAGCTGAAACACTGGTGCCCTAGCAGCACTGTTTTGGTCACAAATCTGAAACACAGTACCACAGGGACTGCTATGAAAAAAATTAACTCCAACCTAGCCAGATCCAGTACATTTATCCTAGCCTTTATATCTTAGTGCGAATTGGCAGAGGATAAAATGATCTATTCTTTGTATCATGCTTTCAATACGGTACCCCTTCCACAAATGCTCTCATATCATTCCCTCTTCTACACACAAAAACGTTCAAGTATAGACACATATGAAACTACTGATAGCTAACAATGAGCCACAGAGTAAAACAGTATGTCTACATTATTAAAACTCTAATAGCGCACAGTACTTTAATTAGCTGCTCAAAAAGTACATTTCAACACTAGAATTCTGTGTTGGAAGAGTGTACTACTAACCAAATGACTGGGCCCAATTGTGCCCGCGAAGGACAATAAATGCAATTATTTGAGTAAGTAGAATATCAGACTCATAAGACAAGCCACTGAACAGCAGCAGACTTCCAAGAAGGAAAGAATAGTCAAGTCAAATTCAGAAAAGGAATCTATATTTAGAAATACAATATGCAAACAATAATAGATATCTGGTGAAAGAAAGCCTTTTTTCTCCGAGTGTTTTAGAGAAGACCAGGGGAGAAAAGTTTCTCAGATCTCTTCACACAACTACTGTGACATTCTAACACTGACAAATTACAGGAAATGTATGCTGAGCCAAACAAGCTTACTACATCAAAAGTCTTAGTACTAGAAATAAGTTGTATGCTTAAATACACACAGTGAATAAAGCAAGAAGTCCTCCATCAGAAGTTTGTTCTCATTCTGAATTAACAATTCCTATACTTCCACCAAATACTGCTATTGTTTGCAAAAGTAGCAGCAGCTCTGAAAAAAACCTGTATGACTCGGAGGACATTAAATATCAGCTCTATTTAAGAGAAGTTTCATTACTTAGTAAAAAAAGAAAAAAATTCGAGTTGGTACTGAAATACACAAATTGAACCCCACCATGGCAAGCAGCATTCAAATTCTGCTCCCAGAAAACCTCAATTACACAGTTCAGACTTCAATGAAAGTTCATGGCCTGACCTATTCCATAAGCAGAAAGACTCAATGAGAAGTAAACCAGCGATCACAGGAAAAGAGGAGTAACCTCTTGAAGGAGGCAAGTACTAGCCTAGAGATCCATATCTCTCCTGTACTTGTTCACTGCGATCTTCTCTAATGCTTTAACTATCCTCAGCATGGAAAGAAACAAGCTCTTCACAGCCCAGGTGCCCAGGTGTAGGCTGCTCGACTTCAAATTGTTCTGAATACCTGCAGTGCATCCAACTGATGTCAACAGGAGCTGCACTTCATATTTCAGAACACTACTTACAGTATATCTGAAGAGATTAGACCTGATATCCCAAAGAACACAAATAATTACTTTCAATCATTTACTCTAGACTAACTGAATTTCATTTTAAAAATGGAGCAAATGCCAACTTCTCTAAATATAGTGAGAAACACTGTGAGGCACTCACACTCATTGCTAGAGAATAATAAAATATTGAATGTAGAAGTTAATCAGGGTTTGAATAATGAACATGAACAATAAATGTTGTGCAGGACGCCATACTCAGAGAAAAAGTGGCATTTAAATGAATGCTATCAAATCTCTATGTTGCATGACATGTACATTCTAGTGGTTAAAAACAGTGAAAACTTTATTATTCTACAGGAATAAGTAAATCTAGGCTGGCATAACTTATTTTTCCCTGTTTCATATTCCACTCAGATAATAAAGTTAAAATGCCTTTTTTTTCAGTTGTTTTTGCTTTTTAATATCAAGAAACAGAAAAAAGCCAAAAAGACAAGTTCCAATAGGTGATGGACACCAACACA